TTCCCTGGAGGCATGTGCTGTTGAACTCAGCCCTCTGGGGCATCACTTCTGCTGCCAGTGGTCAGCAAATGGGTCACCAGCTGCACCTGGGAATGCCATTCCCAAACAGGCTGCTATTTGCTTGCCCAGCAGAGGAGCATTTCTGGATGCACGAGCAGGCAAATCTTGGATCCCACATTGCCACTCACAGCTGAAGTGTTGGCTGAAGTAAGTCATTAAGCAAAAGCTGAGAAGTACTAAATGTGCTCACAGAACTGAGGTTTGGTTTGAATGGTGAAACAGAAAGGAAAATGAAAGAGACGAACATTGTTTCCAGATAAAAAGAGTCGATATTTTTGTGTGCAGATGTCCAAGTAGCTGAGGATATACATTTAAAAATGGGTAGAAGCCCTGATGCTCAGAGGTGTCAGACCCAAGTTCTACTAAAATAAATATTCAGCTTCTCCAAAAATACAAACGTTTCCCTAGGTGCTTAAATATGACTGGAAGCGTGGAGTTTTCAAGGGAACTCTAGTGAGTGGAGAACAGAGTCATGCTGAACGAAATTAGGCACCCAAGTTTGAAAACTGCAGCCTAATTAGATATGCTCCAATTGTTACTATTATTTACTACTTAACAGCTGTCATTGAAGGCTCAGGACAGCTTTGTGCTGGATGCCATGAGTACACAAAACAAGAAAAAAAAATATCCTGAAGGTGCTTAGAATCTCTGCTTGAGAGACGATGAATAAATGCAACTGGCTGGGAAGCGAGAGGTGCTGGGAAGATAGCTGGGAAACACATTTGATCAGGTCTCAAAAGAATTCGGTGTTGTCTGAATCTGGACTCTGAGCTATTACAGCAAATAAGCAGCATTAAGTAGGCAGGAATGCCTGTCTCTGAGCAGAAGGAATATTTATTTCTAAGCTTGGGTAATAATTACCATGGTGAACTCAATGAGTTTTAAAGGAAATAATTAGGCCACAATTAGATAGGGGGGGAAGAAAAGCCAAAATCCAGCAAAGCAAGCTCCCTCTTCCTCCGTTAACCTTCTCTCGCCTTCTTCCTCTGCTGTCCACTTGCTGTGTTAATCTTGAATTTGAATGAAAATTTAAGTGTATCTAAATGTAGCCTTGCCCCCATGGAGGGAGTGGATGTGTCATCAGGGATCTGTCAGAGTCAATAACATTTCCCCTGCAGCCCCAAGCTGTGCCTCGAGATCTAACATTTCTGTCTGAATTATCAGCTAATGCTCTGACAAATTGCCTGTGATTTTCTTTTTTTCTCCCTGAGTGGATGTGCCTGGTCTGCAGATTAGGTAAACACTGCCTGGCCCTGGTGTGTAGCGGTGGCTGATGGTTTCCAGCCGGACCTTTCTGTCAAGCTGGGAGCAGGAGGTGTCAGGGCAGCAGCCGGGCAGCCGCGGCACTGCCCGTGCTGGCTGCAGGTGCTCCGGGGTCTGAGGAGACTCTCACAGCTACGAGCCCTGTGTTTAGGAGATGCCTGTCCACTGTGACAGCGAGGAGTGATGGAGCTGGAAGCTGGGGATGTGATGGAGGGCAGGAGCAGCAGGGCTGCAGATGAGGTCTCTGCTCTAACTGAGCAGGGAAGCAAAGCTGGACGGGCGTCAGCAGCAGCCGTTTTGCTAAGCAGGGAGAGGGCACTGGCTTTTTTTTTTTTTTTCTTGTAGAAAGAAGCAGGTATTTGTGACTTGGGCACCTCCCTCAGACGCTGAGGACATCTAAATGTGGCACAAAGCTACTAGGTGATTTTGCACGTGTACAACAAAGTCATCTTTTGGAGGAAAAACTGTAGGGAAGATGCTGCAGAGGCACCCGAGGGGTTTGTCTCTCTGGCCACAAGATTCAAACACCTCTCAAAGCAAGAAAGCCATCAGCATCGGCTGCCTCTTCTCAGGCTGCAGGAGATCCGAAGCATCTGTTTGTGTACTTGCTGTAGAAGTGATTTTCCTTGGAACATGAGCTGGTTTTTAAACACTGTGGGCGTAGTGACAGTCTATAATTCTGATCGTGAAATCAGATCGTGAATGAGGGAGAGGTAAGAGAAACTCGTCTAAGCTGTCATTGTCAAGATTTACATTAGCCGTCTTAAGTCTCTTCTCTGCAGGTCCGGGTGGGTTTACTCTCCTTCCTTGGCCTTTTCCCGATTCGTATGGAAGTCCCTGGTCCTGTAACACCCCTTGCTGCTTGTACCTGATCAGCCCTCCCAGTTCCTCTGCAAACCTTTCTGCATGTTTTAATTTCCAGCTGTTATCAAAGGGCTTTGCCCTGCCCTTCCCCTTACTGGTTGTTACTTGGCACAATAATACTGGTTCTGCTCTGAAATATTTGGCAACTCAGTGAGGGAACGCTGTTCCTTTAGGCTGAGAACCCTGGCGTCCCTAACTAATTTGAAATGTGGATACCAAATTCCCTTAGGCTTCCTTTGAAAATTCGAGTCTTTTACAGGACTGAGGAGTAGTAAAAGTAATCTGGGAAATGTGACATTTTGCATTGACTTCTCTAGAGGAGAGTCTAAAGGAAAATAAAACCTCCGGGTAGACAAGAGCTGTGGGACCACAGACGTGCACCATAAAGACACCTGGGTGCTTGACAGATGAGCGGTGGCACCAACCAGAAATGTTCATGTATAGTTCTAGGAAGCCAAATGACTAGAAGGTGGAGATATTTATGATCTTTCTCAGGCATTCATATAAACACGCACAGCGGCCAGTAATAGAAATGCTGTTCTAGAATCGCTGAGCAGGCTCAGACTGGGCACTGCTGTTTTATTACATGCACTGAAAAGATTTAAAGAGGGAGGGATTGAAAAGGAGAGACAAAGGGCTTTGCAATCTACAGTATCCCACTTAAAGTAATTATTAGTTATAAGTAATTAAAACGATACTTGTTATAAATATTCAGAAATTGATATACAATATACATCGATAAAACTATTACAATAAAAATGAATAGTATGAATTCCCATTTCTTATTAAATAATATTTTTAGATATGAATTTCCTAACAGACTGCACGTTACACAGTAAATCCCTTTCATTTTCATGTAGCACTGTGTGTGTAGACGGCATGTGGATAAAATCTTTAAAGTCTCAGAAGATAGATTGCCTTTTCGATAGACTGGAGATTCAGTAGTTATTAGATACAGCAAAGGCCACCTGTACAGATGAGGGGAAATGAATGGGTCATTCATTTCAAGAGCCCCTGTGTGTGGCCAAGGTTTGACTAAATATCAGTAGTGGATGGCTCTGGCTCGAGACTTCTATACTGGTGTAGGGCAGCTGGGTCCTTCTTAAGGCCGTATGCTGGGAACCTCATCCAGAGCTCATTTTGGTTGAGAAGTGCAGTAAATAAAAGCACGCTGAAAGTTAAGAAAAGCAGAGCACAGTGTGGGAAAGGACGGACACCCAGTATTGGCCTCTCAGGCTGTGCGACGTGGAGATGTCCCAAAGGTCCCCCAGAGCCACGGGCAGACCTTTGGGGAGCCCCACCGTGGGACCCTGTGGTGTGAGAGAATGTTTCTATGGAAAGCTTGTATTTTTTTGCTTTAAAGAAAATATTCAAGCCCCTTTCTTGGCTGAATTGTCTAGCTATTCCAGATCTAGGGGAAGGTGAAGGTGTTTAGATGAGGACGGGGACTGCTGGTGAGCAATGCTGGTTCTTCATTCTGCCTTTGATACCATGTGTAGGTAGAAATGCAATAAAGTATTTGTCAAGTGCAGTGCATTAAGGCTATTCCTCTTGCCATTAAAGTTTCATGTACAAGTTTCATGGACAGGTCTTAATTCTACTTATAGGTATCTTTCTTGCTTTCAAAAATATTATTAAACTCTTTTGTTATAGAAAGCTACTCTGAAAACAAGCTGAACTGGTAAATAAAACATATGCTTGCTTTTGCTAGCATTCTTACCTCCACAGAGCAATATTCTGAAGAATATTTTTCCCATACATTTTTGTCACCACATTATTGCACATGCCTATTTAAGCAGTAATCCAGTTTGAACGCATCCTACAGTACTTGCTTGTCCTGTTTTTTGAGGTGGGAATCACAGAAGTGAAGTGGACAGAGAGCACTAGCTGAATCCTGACAACATGTCCAGAAGGGAAACAGAGGAGAAGAGAGGTTTATTCTTAGGCTACTTGGGGTCTCATGCCTTTGAGCTTGCAGCTCCAGCCTTGTCCCCCAGGTACTCCTCTGGATACTGCATGAGGACCAAGCAGTCAGACAGCTCCCACAGCGTGTACAAGGTGATGATGGAGGAGGGCAGCACTGCCAACAGCCCTGCTAGGGTGAGCTCTGCAGGAGAGCAGCTGGATGAAGGGCCAGATGGGGCCAGAGCACTGGCCTCGGGGTTCCTTTTGGATGTGTGGGCCATGCAGAACTGGTGTTAGAAACATGGGTCCCATAGAATGGACTGAGGAGGGGGAAAGGAGAGAAAATTTGGGAGGGAGAATATCAGTTTAAGGGTGAAGTATGACTTGGAGTCTCTTCAAAGGCAGAAGTTTCTTCTGCCCTTCACTGGCTTTGCTGAGCAAGAGATGCTATCGCTTCAACCATGCCCCAGTCATACCCCTCTTCTTTTGGTATCTGCTACAATGGCATATGATCCAAAAAAAAAAAAGACTTAAAATACTTGCTAATTATTTTGATTATTTTGTTAATCAGGGTTTTCTGTTCTCCATGTTATTAACAATGCAAATTAAAGCAGGAATCCATGGTGCCCAGAAAGCATCTGCTCAACAGAAATGAAACACTGAACCAAAAACCCACCTCTGTGGCTTGTTTCTACCCGGCCGTGCTGTGCCTGCCTTCAGGAGGTCAGGAGCAGCTGCCCCCTGCCGCACACCGACATGGGGCAGATGCCAAAAAGCTGCACTTTGCTGTCCTGCCCTGCTCCCTGCAGTATTTTTCCATAGCATATCCCAAGCTGAAAGCGACCTCAGTGCACAGTGACTTTCTAGGTGTGTATTTCAACCTTGAATTTCATTCTTTCTGTTCCTAGGTCATTCTGAAAAGCAGCACCTTCACCTGAGAGTGCAGCTGGCCCCTGAGTAAGCCCTCCCTCCATCACCTGCTGGCTCCTTCCCCACCTGGCAGAGGTACTTTGCCTTTCAGTTGATGCAGTGCTTTTAATCTCTGTTCTGGGCTCCACTTCCAGTTCACATTTGATTATTGGAGTTTCTTCTCCCATTGTCTGCTCTGGTTGTGTTTGTTTTTATTTTGTTTGGGTTTGGTTTTGGCTGTGAACATTTAGGGTTCAAGACTGAATCCTACTGTGTGGCCTGGATCGTTATTTGCTGTGCCTCCAAACTGCCTGTTTGGCCTTAAAATTCTGCCTCTCTGCTAGCCTGGGTGGAGTGGCTGAAGGCAGCACCTCTGCCAGCTGATCATACCTTAAATATCTTAATAATAATGTAATAAAAATACTTAAATATAATAATACCTAAATACCTTAAAAATGTTGCTGCTGTGGATTGTTTGAAAAGCTGGCATCAGCATTTCTCTCTGCTAGTGCAATTAGTTTGGGGACTTTCTCTTTTTTATTTACAAATGAAGTGACAATAATCATGCATATCTGTGCCCAGCATCAGACATATACTGCACCGCCTGGTTAACACTTTGCAAGATGTAACCTAGGGCAGTCGTGGGGAACACCTCATAGCTTTCTATAGCAAGTGTAAAAAAGTCTCTATGAAGAAAATCCCTGTAACTGTGAGTACTTGTGACCCTAACTCTCTGTACGCTTCTGTCATTTTTTACACAAATACGCTTGAAAAATCTATCTTTAGCGAAGTCTATAGCCCATAAAAGACAGCCTTTTATCAGCTTGTACAGCTTTTTATACCAGGAAAGCATTTTGGATACTTTTGAAGCAAGAAACTAAAAAGAAATGTTGATATTTTTCTATTTTTATAATATTTAGTAGCTCTCTCCAAGATGTTTGAAGACCAAATTCCTTCTCTATTTGCTTGTTAAGCTCTTTCCTTATCTGACAAGGTGGGGATAGTCTACTGCTGTTTCTGTTGCTTACCAGCTTCAGGAAGCCTGATGGCGTGTGTTGACTCTGGAGTTACGGGAATGGAACCAGCTGCAGCAGATAACATCTTATCTCCTGAAGGAGGACATAAACAACCTTACTGCAGGGCCTGCTGCAGCCCCTGGCTGGGGTGGGTGCTGGGCAGCAATGTTTTTCTCTGCAAGTTGCCTGTTTCAGAGATTTTGTCACTTGTCTGCTCAGTTCCTTATGCCCAGGTTTTTCAGAGATGAGACACAAATTGACACAGTTGCACTGTTAACTTTGCACTGTTACCTCTGACAGTTGCTATCCTTTTGGCTCCTCGTGTGCCTAAGACTAGATCTGAACTTGCTGACATTGATTGTACCTAACAATCCCTCTGGCTTTCCAGGGACTTATGCCTATGTTCAGGGAATTCCAAAGCAGAGGTGCATGCACCTGTGTGACCAGATTTTCTTGAAGCCCTATGTTATGTATGGGATTCAAATATGGGAGAATCAAGAGCTCTTCTTACATTTTAAACTCCTCTATGAGGAGCTGGGCTAATCTATGAGATTGTTGCATAGTGTTGGTGCTTTGATTTCCTTGATCATCTGTGAGTGCTTTAACTAGTTCCAGCTCTTTAACTTGTTTAAAGTAAGGAACCTCATTTTGAAATGAATATGTCTCAGTTTATATCCAGCCAATGTGGGATTTTTATGATATTTTTACATTCGGAGCTTCTAAAACCCCCATAAAATAATTTCACAATATTGTGACTACTCTGCAACCAGAGAGGGTTGTCCTTTACTAAAACACAGTAGAATGAAACACCCGCCTGCTGGAGATTAAATTGTCTACTAGTTTGTGTGAACTCAACCCAGATTAATCACATTTTAGCTCAGCTGGAGAAATATCCATGAATTATGTTGCCAGCTGAATGTGCAGGGCTACACCTATTTTTCAAAGGCAGAGGAGAAAACTGCGCTGGGTGACTCAGTTACAAGTCAAGCAAGTTATTTTCCATGCTGCCTCATAAAGAACAAAGATAAGAACTATAGAAAATGAAATCAGAAGGGAAGGGAATACGATGTCACGTTGGCTGAAACTTTGCCCACGTTGCTGTGCTCCAGCAGCAGGTACATGTGCGTGCCTTCCCTCTGCGTTTGGTGGTGCATAGCTGGGAGCGCATGGCAAGCAGCCGCCCTTAGCTCCTGGTGTTTTATTAAATGCTCTGTTTTGTGTGTTTACGCTGTACCTGGTACCCGTGCATGGTGTTGGGATGGAGGTGGACCTTGCTTACACCACAGCTTGGATGTGGTGTGAGCCATAGATATGTGTCAGGGGCTTTCCTGCTGATTCCAGCCAGGTCACTCAGGAGAAGCCATTTGGAATAGAATAGAACAGTTCAGTTGGAAGGGACTTTCAAAGATCATTTAGTCCAACTGCATATCATCTAATCCAACTGCAATTGGCAATATAAATCCTTGTGAATGTTAATTGCAGCATGCAGCTACATGCACTGCAGGGCTGGGGATGTGGCATTCAAGCTGGGACGTTGAACGCTGCCTTACTTCTTGCCTGGTGCATCAGTGCCATCATCAGGGTGGCTGAAAAACAGGAGCTCCACGTGACTAACTCTGCTGGTATCTGCGCTGAAGCAAAACTGGAAGAATGAGCCATGTTAATGAAATAACATGAAGTGCGCCTTTCAAGATAACCACGCAGCTGGCAAACAAGAGACTTGGCTGGGAATGTGAGAGGCTTTGTTGAGATCCTTGCCCTGGGTACTAGCTGCTGGCTTGCTGTGTTGGACCTGGGAAATGGCTGTGCTTCTTTGCAAAGCGCTAGTGGATTATTTTTTCTGTGTAGAAATGGCATTTTCTCAATGGGAAAAGTATGTGATGAGCTCCAGTTTGGCACCAGAAAGGTCCAAATGAAGTAACAGTCTGGCTCACCTGGAAGTATTTCTGGATTTACAACTTTTCACAGCCCCCTGTACCTGATGGGATGAAGCAAGAACTAAAGAGCAACTTGTTCTCTTCTGAAATAGCACAATTACTGCAGTGAGTGCACTGCCAAATGTGGACCGAGCAAGTCACAACTGTTAGAGTTAGAAAAAGAGATATGACAGTCTCTAATCTAAATCAGATCTTAAAAGATCAATCAGTGATTGTCCCTATCATCAGTAGTAACTTCATCTCACTCTGAGCTGCTTTGATGCCAGAGTAAGTCTGACATCAGAACACAGATCTGAATTCAAATGGGGAATCAAGAAGGTATTTCTGGCTTGATTTTGCTTCTCAACCTGAGCTATAGGATATGTTTATTAGAAATGTGTTCCTAGCTTCTTTGATAGTAATTCAAAACTCCCATTGTCTGTGTGTGTTTTCCGTGCTTCTTGCCATAAATTAGTCTTTTTAAGGTTTACCACTCAGGTATTTTTAACTGAAGAGGTAAAAACAAAAGCCAACAAACAACAAAATAGATATATATATGTCTGGCTATCTGCCCACTGAAGGGCTCCCCCACGCCGGGTGCAGGGGACCCCACTCCATCCCCAGCTGCTCCCAAGCCTAGCAGGGCTGCCAGCAGCGCTTGCCCTGTCCTTAGAGAGCCCTAAAGAGAAAAAGTGATCCTATAAACACAAGCACAGAAAAAGTTACCGGGTGCCTGTGCTGTTGTTTATACATTTAGATACTATGATTAAATTACATACATAATGCATAGTGTTTGTAATACATTATTAATAATAATAATACTGTCTTGTATTATTTGGCTAGAAGAGGCATGCTCCGAGTGATGGTTCATTGGTCTATTCACACACAATTTTCATACATCTCTAAAGATTACCATTTTAACAGCTTTCTGTATGGATACTGCCAGGCAGTTACATTTAACAGTGCATAAATCTAATTCCCTCTGCACTCAATTTTCTCAGGCAGCAGAATCAATTTAAATCTGTCAGGATTTTATTCTAAAGTCTATTAATGACTCCTGCCTTTTTCTGTATTTTTTTCCTCTGTCTCTCTCCTAACAATCTCCCTCTTTCATGAATTCATTCAGCTGCAGAAAAAGATGCCCCACTGATACAAACAGTCTTTTATCTCTTTACAACAGAAACCTAATTAGGTGTGAAGGAGACACGAGGAAGGTCACAATTAGCCCTCCAGCAATAAAGGTTAACAGTTGTGAAATTCCGTAATAATGCTGTTGAACTTTGTTATTACCAATAATGATGGCCTTTGACAAGGTAACGTTCATTATTCCTCACCCCCACCTCACCAGCGTGGCCTTGCGGCGCCTCCCCTTCCTCTTCCCTTCCCCTACCCCCTCACACGTGTGTGCTGGCTCCTGACACAAGAGCAGCTCACACCTCCTCTGGCCGTTCGACCCGTTGGGTAGATTTCAAGGCGTGCTTTAGTATTTTCTGTATCGAGCTCATGCCGAAGGATTGCTTGCCATGCCTTTTAATTATTGATTAAAAAAATAACGTGTGTGGATTTTCTTTTCCACGCTCGAATGAAACGATTCTGCCCAATTAAGAACTTAAATGGAGGTGTTAACAAGAAAGTAATAGGCGATGTGTCCGGGTAATACAGCTTTTCAGGATGGAGTGGAAACAATTACATGCCTTGCCATTACAAGCCAATGGATCTCTGACATCTTCAAAAGGCTTCTGGGGAATAACGCCACGTCGGGTATCGTTTGCTGTGTCTGTATCTACTCTTAAATCTCTGCAGTGAAATGGATCATAAACCGAACATTTCAAATGACTCCTTACTGGCCTTCTTTTTATGCCAGTTTTATGCCTTTTGAGGAATGCTGTGAAACAACGGGAATCCACCAGAGATGTTAAATCTCCCTGTTGATTTTTAGTAGGTGTCTTGAAGGAGAAGGACCACATCTGTGTACTGCTAAACCTGTACCTTAGTTCTCAGGTTTCCTTTACACTGCAAATGTGGTTCCACAGCCATTAATATCAGATCTGTGCCCTGTTGGATCAACTTGCCCCAGTCAAGTGTGGGCATATGATTTCATTTCCATTTTAAGAAGCAGAGCATGTGAAAGGGATTTAATGCCAATTGTACACTTCTTTGCCTG